CGGTCATGGGGGTCCCCTACGGGTCGGTCATGGGGGTCCCTACGGGTCGGTCATGGGGGTCCCCTACGGGTCGGTCCTGGGGGTCCCCTACGGGTCGGTCCTGGGGGTCCCCTACGGGTCGGTCATGGATCCCCTACGGGTCGGTCATGGGTCCCCTACGGGTCGGTCTGGGTCCCCTACGGGTCGGTCCTGGGTCCCCTACGGGTCGGTCCTGGGTCCCCTACGGGTCGGTCCTGGGTCCCCTACGGGTCGGTCATGGGTCCCCTACGGGTCGGTCATGGGTCCCCTACGGGTCGGTCATGGGTCCCCTACGGGTCGGTCATGGGTCCCCTACGGGTCGGTCATGGGGGTCCCCTACGGGTCGGTCATGGGGGTCCCCTACGGGTCGGTCCTGGGGGTCCCCTACGGGTCGGTCATGGGGGTCCCCTACGGGTCGGTCATGGGGGTCCCCTACGGGTCGGTCCTGGGGGTCCCCTACGGGTCGGTCATGGGGGTCTCCTACGGGTCGGTCATGGGGGTCCCCTACGGGTCGGTCCTGGGGGTCCCCTACGGGTCGGTCATCGGGGGTCCCCTACGGGTCGGTCCTGGGGGGTCCCCTACGGGTCCCCTACGGGGGTCGGTCCTGGGTCCCCTACGGGTCGGTCATGGGTCCCCTACGGGTCCTAATTTATGAGAACGACCTGCCCGAGGGAGTGAAGTCGTTCATGCCAATGTTTACAGACGGTACAAGGCTCATGAGGAAAGTAAAAACTGGGAACTGCACAAAGTTACAGAAGGGCCTTGACAAACTACAGGAATGACAAACAAATGGTTGCTAGAGTTTACTCTCAACAAGTGTAAGGTAATTAAGATAGGGCAAGAAGAACTGAAACCGGAAAGTAACCCATTATAAGAGTAAGAAGACAATAGGAGTCGGAGAGAGTAGAGAACATGGGAGTGGACATAATTCTAACACTATCTCCTATCTCCTAGGAGCCGGTCGGCCGAGCGGACAGCACACTGGACTTGTGATCCTGTGGTCCCGGGTTCGATCCCAGGCGCCGGCGAGAAACAATGGGCAGAGTTTCTTTCACCCTATTACCCTGTTACCTAGCAATAAAATAGGTACCTGGGTGTTAGTCAGCTGTCACGGGCTGCTTCCTGGGGGTGGAGGCCTGGTCGAGGACCGGGCCGCGGGGACACTAAAGCCCCGAAATCATCTCAAGATAACCTAAAAATAGGCTAATGGAACTAAATGTCGCAACTCAAGAGGATAGAAGAAAAACAGAGAGGGGGGATATGATCACAACATACAAGATACTGAGGGGGATAAAGTGGACCTCTTGAATTTGAGAGAAAGTAGGACGAGTGGAATACACTGAAAGAAGTTGTGGAAGCCACCTCCATCCACAACTTCAAGACCAGATTCGACAAATAATTTGATCATCAAAATAGTTGAGTTGTACCACAACGAGGACAACACGGCTGGCAGGCGGGGGCTCAGGAGCTAGATCTCACTTCCGTCGTGTCGGAAGTGAGGTCGGTGTTTTCTAAGAAGCTTTTCAAGGTAAACTAAAATATTCACAATCAATTAGTATGTCATATATGCACTTATTAAATAAGCCAATATTGACAGTAAGCAAGTGCGAGAACGGGTTGCGTCTTCTTGAGGTTATCTTGAGATGATTTCGGGGTTTTTAGTGTCCCCGCGGCCCGGTCCTCAACCAGGCCTCCACCCCCAGGAAGCAGCCCGTGACAGCTGACTAACACCCAGGTACCTATTTTACTGCTAGGTAACAGGGTAATAGGGTGAAAGAAACTCTGCCCATTGTTTCTCGCCGGCGCCTGGGATCGAACCCGGGACCACAGGATCACAAGTACAGCGTGCTGTCCGCTCGGCCGACCGGCTCCGCAAATAATTTGAAAGGTAGAAATTAGAAAGGTAGGTAGAAATGTGCGTAGACACAGTTAGGTAAGTACTCTTAGATATGGTAAACACCACCCCCACCCCCCCACCACCACCCCCTCACCCCCCCCCCCACCACTATCCAAAACACTAATTCGTCTCGCGTCTTTTGAAAGAGATTATCAAGATGGATTAACCGCAGGGATGGAAAAACTGTGATGGAGTCGGGGACGGAGGGAGACAGACTCATCCATTCATCTCCCCCCCCCCCCCACCCCCCACACACCCCCACCCCCCCGGGGACACCCAGATGAATAGGACCTTTACTGTTTTTACACACCAGTGTAATGTCCCCTCACAGCCCAGGCTAATTGGTGGGGGAGGGTGTTGTGAGGTGGGGGAGGGTGTTGTGAGGTGGGGGAGGGGTGTTGTGAGGTGGGGGAGGGTGTTGTGAGGTGGGGAAGGGTGTTGTGAGGTGGGGGAGGGTGTTGTGAGGTGGGGGAGGGGTGTTGTGAGGCGGGGGAGGGTGTTGTGAGGTGGGGAAGGGTGTTGTGAGGTGGGGGAGGGTGTTGTGAGGTGGTGGAGGGGTGTTGTGAGGTGGTGGAGGGGTGTTGTGAGGTGGAAAAGGGTGTTGTGAGGTGGGGAGGGTGTTGTGAGGGTGGGGAGGGGTGTTGTGAGGTGGGGGAGGGGTGTTGTGAGGTGGGGAGGTGTGTTGTGAGGTGGTGGAGGGTGTTGTGAGGTGGGGGGGGAAGGTGTTGTGAGGTGGTGGAGGGGTGTTGTGAGGTGGGGGGAGGGAGTTGTGAGGTGGGTGGAGGGTGTTGTGAGGTGGGGGAGGGTGTTGTGAGGTGGGGAGGGTGTTGTGAGGTGGGGGAGGGTGTTGTGAGGTGGGGGAGGGTGTTGTGAGGTGGGGGAAGGTGTTGTGTGGTGGGGAGGGTGTTGTGAGGTGGTGGAGGGGTGTTGTGAGGTGGTGGAGGGGTGTTGTGAGGTGGTGGAGGGGTGTTGTGAGGTGGTGGAGGGTGTCGTGAGGTGGGGGGGGGTTGTTGTGAGGTGGGGGAGGGTGTTGTGAGGTGGGGGAGGGTGTTGTGAGGTGGGGGAGGGTGTTGTGAGGTGGTGGAGGGTGTTGTGAGGTGGTGGAGGGTGTTGTGAGGTGGTGGAGGGTGTTGTGAGGTGGTGGAGGGTGTTGTGAGGTGGTGGAGGGTGTTGTGAGGTGGTGGAGGGTGTTGTGAGGGGGGAGGGTGTTGTGAGGTGGGGGAGGGTGTTGTGAGGTGGGGGAGGGTGTTGTGAGGTGGGGGAGGGTGTTGTGAGGGGGGGGAGGGTGTTGTGAGGTGGGGGAGGGTGTTGTGAGGTGGGGGAGGGTGTTGTGAGGTGGGGGAGGGTGTTGTGAGGTGGGGAGGGTGTTGTGAGGTGGGGGAGGGTGTTGTGAGGTGGGGGAGGGTGTTGTGAGGTGGTGGAGGGTGTTGTGAGGTGGGGGAGGGTGTTGTGAGGTGGGGGAGGGTGTTGTGAGGTGGGGGAGGGTGTTGTGAGGTGGGGGAGGGTGTTGTGAGGTTGGGGAGGGAGTTAGACACCTGCTACGGGCTGCTTCCCGGGGTGTGTGTAACAAAAAGATGGGCCTGGTCGAGGACCGGGCCGCGGGAACGCTAAGCCTCGAAATCATCTCAAGATAACCTCAAGAAGGAGGGTAATTGGCGGTCATTGGTGGGGGTGGGGGGGGGGGGGCGGGGGGTCGTTTGAGGGTGGTTGTGGTCTTGAGCCCTCAAATTTAACCGGGGCCCAGGAGCTAAAGCTCGCTCGCCGTAAAACACTCTCCCCCCCCCCTCCGGCGCCCTGATGTATATCCGCCCAATTGTTTCACTGGGAAGTAATGTATCAACCATCGGACGAGATCCAAAACTTTATTCCTTGGCCGTCAAATGGAACTGGGATTTCTCCTCTTCCCTCCTTATTTGCTTATCTTACCTACCATCTCTTGTTCCCTTCCTCCCTTATACCGGAAGCCGGCCGGCCTAGCTGACAACACGCTGGAATTGTGATCCTGTGGTCCCGGGTTCGATCCCGGGCGCCGGCTAGAAACTATGGGCAGAGTTTCTTTCATCCTATGCCCCTGTTACCTAGCAGTAAAATAGGTACCTGGGTGTTAGTCAGTTGTCACGGGCTGCTCCCTGGGGGTGGAGGCCTTGTCGAGGACCGGGCCGCGGGGACACTAAAGCCACGAAATCATCTCAAGATAAGATACCGACCATTACCACCGCCTGCTTCATGTCTAGCAATCCTTCCCTCTGGCCTACGACATATAAGACCATGGCTGCCATATTGGTCTGGCGAAACATTGCCCGAGGCGGAATTAGTGATAGCCAACAGGAAGTCCCCAGCATGAGGAGCTTGTAGTTAGTACATATATGCACTAAGTACATATATGTACTATACGAGGTCTCACCTTTATTAGACCTAGGATGGTCAAGTTAGGTTTTATTTGCAACATCAATACACAAACAAATGTCAAACAATTTTGTCCCAATTTTTCAATTTGGACAAAAAGGTTAAAAGTAATTCAACAGTACACAATTATTTTGGTACTAATATAAGTATATAATCAGCAGTAAGCATATTTAAGGTATACATTGTCAAAGACTCGTACTCTTAAAGACTAATCACCATTAAAGTTTATATGCATTAAGGTAACTCACCATTAAGACAACATTAAGAGTACTCACCATTAAGAATCCGCAACTTGTCCTCTTAAAAAGAACGTCGCTTTTGGCCGTTTGCCCGTATGGCCGAATTTGGACGTAATTTGAAAATGAAAAAAAAAATGAAAATAAATTTGGGATTTTTTTTTTCAACAACAGTAAGTTAAGGGTCCTCTGATAGGTTAGGTGGGCAGGAAATTCTCATAAAGTTTCAAAACGTTATGAAAAACGTTAATTTAAAGTGTCCTCTCATAACCTCTGCGCGTACGCCGGACGACTCAAACAGAAAACGGAACAGAACGTCACTTTTGTGAGTCGATTTCATTTCAAATTACGTCCAAATTTGGCCATAGTGCGCATACCAGCCAAAAGTGACGTTATTTTTAAGAGGACGGGTTGGATGCACACTCACCACTCAGGGTACTCACCATTGAGGACATGGAGCATGACGGAGGCGTCCTCACCATTAGAGGGGCGGCAGGTATACTTGCCGGAGTCAGAGGCCTCAGCGTTCTTCACCAGCAGGTGACTGACGGTGTTGTGGCCGGACTGGGTCACCACCACCACGCCCCCCATCACCTCGTAGTCGATGACCTGCAGGACGAACACCTGGTTAGCTGTCAGGTCTCTCTCCTCGCCTCCTAACACCACTACCAACCCCCCTCCTCTTGTAGGCTGTTACCACCCTCTTGTAGGCTGTTACCACCCTCTTGTAGGCTGTTACCACCCTCTTGTAGGCTGTTATCACCCTCTTGTAGGCTGTTACCACCCTCTTGTAGGCTGTTACCACCCTCTTGTAGGCTGTCACCCTCCTCTTGTAGGCTGTTACCACCCTCTTGTAGGCTGTTACCACCCTCTTGTAGGCTGTCACCACCCTCTTGTAGGCTGTCACCCTCCTCTTGTAGGCTGTCACCCTCCTCTTGTAGGCTGTCACCCCGTGATTACATTTATTAAAAGAGCTTATATACGAGAATGGGAATGTTAGACTCTAGTGTTGTTATTGTGACCACCTCGTAGCGCTTCGCAGCTACGAGGTCACCCCGTGATTACATTTATTAAAAGAGCTTATATACGAGAATGGGAATGTTAGACTCTAGTGTTGTTATTGTGACAACCTCGTAGCGCTTCGCAGCTCATAAGACTATTGAACGATTATAAGCAAAGCCGCCGCGTCTGTTGAAAGATCAACAGGTTTCGCAAGTGTGTGTGTGTCTATATGTCTGATGAATCCCCGCCCTGGATGAGAGGAAGGTCCGCTACCTTAACACTCCAACTCAATCTCTCTCACTCTCTCTCTCCTCTCTCTCTCTCTCTCTCTCTCTCTCTCTCTCTCTCTCTCTCTCTCTCTCTCTCTCTCTCTCTCTCTCTCTCTCTCTCTCTCTCTCGGTGTCAACCACACTAGGGAGATTGCAGAATGCTTGCAGAGTGACCTGCAAGGGCTTGCAGAATGACCCAAAACGTCGACAAAGCGGGTTCCGAACCCCCTTCACACCATCCAAATACTCATTGCTGCTGAGAGATGGCCCCGATACGCCACCATAACCCTTCGGAACTTGTTGGAAATTCCTCGAGTATAAATTGCTCTCAGAATCGCCATGAATTCTGGAAATTGCTGAAGTGTTGATGGGAGATATTGCAAATAATGAGAAGTCTGAGGCTGAGGTGGATTTTACGACGTAGTGTGTGGATGTGTAGGGGTGTGTGGCTTGTGGTTGGGGAGGTGTGTGGGGTGGTGTGGATATGCCTTGGTGTGGGGGCTCCTCTCCCTCTCTCTCTCTCACTCTGTCTCTCCTCTCCCTCTCACTCTCTCCTCTATACTTAACGACAGCCTTTATTTCACCTCCCCACACACCCCATCACCCCCCCCCTCATCACGACCCCATCAAGCGTCCCCCCCCCACAACTACCACCCCCATCATTGCTTAAACCCCCCCACCCCCTCCATCCAACACACACACACACACCTATTTTATGACCTATTAAGCGGAGTTAGAGAGCAGACTTCTTATCCAGCTTCCAATAGAGATACGATCCAGTACCCCATTACAGCCCCAAGGGGTTAGTGCCCCCCCCCGCTCCTCCCTCCCCCCTCGCTGCACGCACACCTAGGTGAGTACACGCATTTATATACGTATATACCTATGTGGGTATTCGTGAGCTCTACCTCCTGGGCCCCGCCTGGTGGACATCAACTCAGACGGGTGGACGGTATATCTGAGTACCCAGACGGGTGTACTGGCGTGAAGCGTTCTCACTCTCATTGATACTTTATGTCTGGATCATGTCCCCTCTATGTCTCTCTCTGTTTTCTTTCCAGCATCAATAGATTGTGTTCCCTCAGCACCACTAATTCAGTTCCCTTGTTTCTGGGAACACTCATGAAGAAATAATATTGGTACATTTTGAGGGTTTGTCTTAAGTTATTTTAGGGCGGGGTACCACGCAGGTGCTGAATACTCTAGCAGTACTCACCTAATTGTGCTTGCGGGGGTTGAGCTCTGGCTCTTTGGTCCCGCCTCTCAACAGGTGTACAGGTTCCTGAGCCTATTGGACTCTATCATATCTACACTTGAAACTGTGTATGGAGTCAGCCTCCACCACCAGCAGTGATCGGACATATATGCTCTATGCAGCATTTGACAAGCACATATATTTTTTCCCTCACTGACTCAGACAAGCTTCTTCTGCCTTTTATTATACATTTTTCCTATGGCCTGCTTTCGACATCATTACACTTATCTGGATTAAAGTCCACCAACCATTTATCTGACCCTGCTTGTAATTAACCCAAGTCTTCATGATGCCTCATGCAGTCTTGATTCTGATCCTTACCTTCGCATCATCACCTGTGCCACAAGAATTCATCATCAGTTCTCATACTAAGAATAGCATCGGTCCCAGAACCGTTCCTTGTGCGGCTCTCCTTGTAATATTGCCAACACACCTTTCTTGCTGTAACTGTTTTCAATTTGTTAAGTAGTTCTTATGCAGACGACGAGTCACAATAACGTGGCTGAAATATGTTGACCAGACCATACACTAGAAGGTGAAGGGACGACGACGTTTCGGTCCGTCCTGGACCATTCACAATCGA